CGCCATGGTACATACATAGTTAATTTAGCGTTGTGGTATTTCAGTGAGCTCACAGTTCAGAGCGTGGAGACGTGAGAGCAGCTTTCAGTGGGTCAGATAGACATGTCTGATGATGATTTTCACGTGTGTTCCTTTGGGTGCACCACAATTCGATTTTATGGGCCTGATGGGCCCGAATTTCAAAGTTATTTATTGTTTATATAGGCCATCGTGGGTTGGAGCCACTCGGTACCCGAATGGCCGGACCACGCCGATTCTCATTATCACGTACATCTTCCTCCGGTCCCAGAACCCTATGAGCTATTACTGGTTTGAAAAGCGGATCGCAGGTAAGGGCCTGAACTTCACCTTCCTCAGCGAAGGGCACCCATTATAATGCGAGACCCTTTCGTAACTCTCCCGGCTAGTGATTGCGGTAGCGCCGGCGTCGACTTGAATTCTTCCTTTTTATCATGGTCATGATTCGAAGATGCCACTATTCACTTGATAGTCGTAGTTTCTCGTAGAGAAACTGAGTTGCCTTCATCACTAGTTATGTCTGACGTCGTCAACGATCGTATATCTGTCCATAAACGGCATGCCCTTTATGAACGTCTAGCGAAGTACAATGCGCGCTACTCATCAACACTCGGCGATTAAAATGAGAAATGATTCCTCAGAATCATCCACTATATATGATTTGCTTCGACTAGTTTGTTTGTTTGTTTGTTTGTCTGTCCGTAAATTCGGTTCTACCAGAAGAATGGGTCGGGATGGGTAGACTATGTGGCAAGATGTAAAGAGCAACCATAACCTATGGTAAGCCCCGCCCACAGTGGGCGGGGCATGCGTTGAAAGTTAGCGGTCTCACTGAAAAAAATTCATAATTCGGCTCCAGAGCAGTCCCGAGATGGGGAAAAGTGGATTAAGGTTAGCAAAGGGTTGACCCATCAAATGGAGGAGACACACCCGAAATGGGCGGGGCGTACTAGAAATGGGCGGTGCTTCCGGTGTCACTGAAAAAATTCATAATTCAGCTACAGAGCGCTCTGAGATGGGAAAAGTTGGGACAGGTTTAGCAAGGGGTTGACCATCAAATGGAGGAGACACACTCGAAATGGCGGGGCGTACTCGAGATGGGCGGTGCTTCCCACAAATGTCGGTGACTCGGTTCCCGAGAGAGTTCAGAGATTGCAAAAAAGTCGGCGAAGACAAACATCTGGCGAGAGTCCGTTATGTCTGCGGTGTGCTGTGACCCGCCCACCTTGGTAGGGGCATGACATCTAACGTGAGCCATTGATTCAAAAAAAATCGTAGTTTGGTCCTAGAGCACTACAGACGACGCGAAAAAGTGGATTATGTCCTAAGTGGTCCCCGTTGAGTAGTGCAAGATACAGTTGCGGGCGGAGCGCGCGCCGAGGTGGGCGGAGCCTGATCCACATATCAAAACAGTTCCAGTGCACCCCAGACACCGGAAGAAAGTGAATTAGTGTCAGTGATGATTCAGCGGTTGAGAAGTGCGAGGCACATACGTTGTGGGTGGAGAGTGCATGGGGTAGGCGGAGCCAGACTGGAAATTCCGTAAATCGCTTCCAGAACACTCCAGACACCTGGAAAAAAGTATATTAATGTCAGCGATGGGTCACCGTTGAGAAGTACGAGGCACACCCGTTGTGGGCGGAGCGTGAGGAAAGCTGGGCGGGAGCGAATCAAAAAGATTTTGAAACGTTCCCAGAGCAGTCCAGACACCGGCAAAAAGTGAGCAGAGGTGTGCAAGTCCTCGGCCATTGAAGTGAGATAGACACGCCCATTGTGGGCGAAGCAGGTGTCGAGGTGGGAGGGGCAAAGTCAAAAATTCACGAGTTGCTTGCAGAGCAGCATATGCACCGGGGACATGTGGACTGAAGGTCACAAGGGGTTAGTGGATGAAATGGGGCAGACATCCTCAAAATGGGCGGGACGTACTGGCGGGGCGTGCTTGCTACGAGATTTTATATTTCGGACCTGACTTTAGGATTACAAAAAGTCGTTGGAGAAAAGAAACATACAGCGAAGGTTGAGTGTGTCTTGGTGTAGACCCGTCCACAGTGGGCTGTGCGTGCCTTCAAGCACGAGCTGCCTACTTTTACTGAGCTTCAGTGCATCGGCAGCCATGCACTTAACCACCGGTCGTCGTAAATGCATTCGATACCAGTCGGCTCGCCGGCTGACGCCGGCGCGCCTCCTCTGTGATACGGCCCGGCCTTGCCGGGCGGGCGTGGCTTCGTCTACCCTACCTGCTTTCGTACGTTCGAATGCACGACTGATACCCGGCTTTCTGTCATCTCTGCACTTCATCAATGCTCCTCATAATGTCATGCACAGTAATAGTGTTGAAAATAGCAGGTATGATGTTAATGGTCAAGGAGCGTTGGTTATCTGTTCAGATAAAAGGAAAGCCGCATATCAGTTGGTATATAAATATGTGGAAGAAGGTAAGCATGGCGGAGCCGGGTCGTATCACAGAAGGAGACGCGCTCGTCAGCCGGCGAGGTGACTGGTTTGTTTATCGTCCACATGGCCCACATTTGGACGAACTCGGACGGATCTTAGCCTTCATTGTGAGTTTGCCACAAACGTATTTCTTTTCGTCGAGTGCTAGCTCGAATTATCATGCGGACGTGCTTTTTTCTCTTGTCGCCAGACTGTTCCCATTCCTCAAGCCTTACCACTCTGACCATAAAATCCTTGAGGATTTTCATGCCTTTTGAAACTATGGCGAGCTCAAAGTGATTTGTTTGCGGGTTGGGACGCAACATTGCGCTTGCTCTGTTCTCCATACTTTCGGCGGCAAACACTGTACTCCCCTGTACACCGCACTGCACTCAGGATTACGTGACATCTTGAACTTTTGTGCGCGGTCCTGTTGCCAAACCCTGCACCCCAGATAGCTAGAGGACAGCTACTGTCGAAGCATTGAAACGTGATGCGGACGAGAGAGTGCAGAGAAAAACAGAAGATCGACACGTTCAAGGGAATTATTTCAAGTTGTCTGTAGGGAGGAAAGCCGTGCTCCTGGCCGCCCTGTTCCAGAAGTCATTTTCTGTGTGATTCAACTACCAGCGAGGTTCGTCTACTCCTTCTGCGTGTTCGAGTTTGCTAACCATAGGCCTCCTGTGAGTCGTTTGCAGACCCTGACGAAGACCCATTGGAGGTACTTCTACTATCCAAGATTGCTCTAAGAAGTGGGCCGCAGACAATCTGACCTGCGTCCTGTCTCATCTGAACGATAAGTAGCGTCCATGATAAAGACACAGAGACCCTCCGAAACGCTAAGGTCCTGGCGATCGCAGGAGTTCAAGATTCTTCAAAGGCGGATACGTGCCAGCTGGCTAAGAAGATCAAAGAAGGTAAAATAAACTTCTGTCAGATCTGAACGAAACATTCTCAGCGGTCGGTGAGTGCATTAACGCGATCCCTGTCGTAGCTACGGTCGGTTCAGGGACCCTATATTCAGTGCAGTATAGGCCAGTACCCAGTGTAACTCCCTCCTCCTGCTCAGACACCCCCACATTTAGTATAGCATTTTTCTTGCGGCTCCGCCGCCTTGAGAGCATAATGCGGATGAAGTTCATTGTTCAGACCACACAGCAGTAGGCGTACTTCCTTATCGGTCATTTAGACGAATAGCCCGAGAAAAAGTTTAAGAACTTCAGATGAGCAGCGTGATGGCTACGGGGAAGTGGTAGCGCACATGGCCAAATCCTTTGAAGCCCCCCCCCCACATCGATACATAGCACGCCAATCACTGTCGTCCTGCCAGCAGCTGAGTCTTCTTCAAGTTTTGCTGACAGGCGCTTACTTTTCGTTCGCGCCGGCACAGCAGGACAAGATTCCGCCAGCCTGAAAGAAAGCGTGCTGGAGGAGTTTGGCGCAACTCCGTTCGGACATCCGATACTACGTAAAGCTGAGCAACCCCTCCAATCGGCTCATCCGTCCAGCGACCGCATAGCGAGCGGTAGGAGTAGGGGCAGCCGTTCTTCCCCGCAAAGAGATCAGGGAGTCCCACTATCAGCAGGCTCGGCTTCCATTGAATTGCAGTTCAAATAGTTCATTTCAGAGAAGTCGCGTCGACAGTCGTGCACAGCAAAGTCAGCGGAAGACGAAAATTATTTGCTTGAATTGCGGTGGTGAATGCTTGAATTGAATCTGCCTCTGACCTAAACATCGCCTCGAGTTCGTCGCATAGAGCAACAGGTACCATGAAGCTTCATGGTCGTTTTTCCCCTTTTAGTCGTGAGCCGTCAAAAGCTTTCTCCATCTCTCTGCGCGAAAATCGAAAGGTGTATCAGGCAGACGCTCGTGTTACTGTCTTATGGTTAATGAAACATAATGAGGGGCTTGCTCAATCGGCACTCGGTCAGTATCAATTACCAGCCCGATCGTCTTCTCACCCTAAAATTCCAGTCAAATGCATGATTTTGTGTTGTGGAGTAGGCGGGGCACTTTCTGGTTCCGTCCGGCTATGCCCGCGATACTCAGCGGATTCTGTTGCCTGCGTTCCGACTTCCTATTACAATTGCTCACATATTTTCTGCGTTTCGGTGAAACTTCTCATTCGCTCACAGTGCAAATTCTCCGTCCTGATACTAAACAGTACTATATGTCAGACTTTCTGTGCAAGATCATTACTATTTCGGTGAAACTTCTTTACTGCGCGATATCCGAATGGTAGCACGTCTCACGCCCCTGTTTCGGCAGGAGCATGCCGACTCATGATTGTGTCGAATGGTAGCGCGTCTTGTAGGACGGTGTCTACCTCTAATTGCTGCCTTATTCCTACCGTGATCCATACACCTTATGGTTCCGCTTCTCCCTACTCACTAGTGGGGAACCTAGAACACTGCCTTACGAATTAGGTGAATGGTGCTAATTGATCTCTGTTGTGCTCTGGCCCCGACAAGGAGGAAGAAAGCTGCTTTGTGCCGGTAATGATCATGAAAGGACATCAGACGAGCAAATTGGATTTGTGACTCCAAGGAATGTCATGGCCCAACGACAGTGCACATCTACGACTGCGGATCTCAGCTCATCTTACCGGAATAGGGATACGCCGTTCTAGCGAGCGACCGTTTCTCGCGTTGTATTCGAATCGGCACCAGCATTACTACTTCCAACCAGCCGGGTAAGCAGCTCCTTTCGGTAGAGGGATCGGTAGGATCAGCAGTGGGGGGAGGCACTTTTTCAGCAGGCACTGTTGCTCGTTGGCAGTGATAGGACCATCCTGCTAACGTTCGCTTTGCACGCATCCCTCGCTGCTAATCCCACGTCAACTCTGTGCAGTCTGCTGTCCAAGACTGATATTGCTGCAACCTTTCTGGGTAAGGTCTCATGCAGATCCATCGCTGCATGCCAGTTCCTCCCCGTAGCTGACGCCTTAACCCGTTTGACGGGACGTGTTTTAGTGATCCGAGCACTGAGATCACACTGCCCAGCGGGGCCAGCGTTGAGTTTTTCACCGACCCCACAACGAGGGTGGTATCGCAGGAGGCTCCGTGGGTGCCGTGTGCTACCAAGACCCCCATATATTATCCGCATGGAGACGGTTTCTTTAAGTTCAACGCACTCATAGGGAAAAACCAGGTGGTGCCCCTTTCTAGTGTCCAATACGTGGGGATGCCAGCGCCAACGCCTCTGCCCTTATCCTTCAGCTCACTATATTTCATAACCTAATCTTGACAAACCTTAGTGAGTTGGTCGTCCAGGACCACCAGGCGCATTAGGGTCTTCGGCTACCCCAGACTACTTCCTCCGCCTTGCTACGCCACAAGATGATACTTTTGTCGCTTCTTCAACACGCAGTTCCTCGCTGCCATCCACGATTTTGTCGTTCATCTTCGAATCATGAACCATCTTTGATATATGGGTAGTGCCCTTTTCCCCCCGAGTAGTGCCCTTTTCCCAACGCAATCCACCACCGCTTGTAGTGTCTCATCAGCCGGGCCCGCAACCACCTCGCCAAGGCTAACCATCCCTCGGATCAGTGCAACTCAAAGCTCAGGTCACAATGACGTAGAGCTGGCTCAAGTGCCGATTGACTCCACATCCCCTGGCCACCGCAAGCAAATATGAGCCCTGCGACGTGTTGCACTTTGCTAGCCAAGACCGCTTCTTCGTGATCCAGATCCGAATTCGAGTCAACAATATAAGCTTGCTCGCCTTGGTGGAGACTGGTGCTTTCATAAGGATCACCTCAACTGAAACGGCACCTCTCCTTGGAGTTTTTGAATGGAGAGCGACGTAACAACTGCCGTAGGCATAGCAGAGGTGCCGGTCCATCTCCTAGGTTGTGCTTCACTCTCTTTTCAAGATTGGATCCCTTTCCTTTCGAGCACCCTGTTTACTTTTCAGGATCGGCTCGCATTTCCTAAGGGGCGAGCGCTTACAATGTAATTCTGGGCAATGACCTTGAATAGACTCCTCCATGGGCACTCGACTACAATACTCGAATCTTTTTCTCAGCGGATCAACAGGTGAAGATTCTCTGAGCTCCCCTAAGTGACGCCAACCCAGTAAGCACAGTCAATCTCCAAAACTACCGTGCCTCCAGCGATCGCCAAAGCGTTTGTGCGCAGCGGCAGAGAGGGCGATTACCAGACTTCAACTTAATGCAAAGCGAAGGCCTCACAGAGTACGCCATCGGTCAGCCTGGCAGTCGTTAACCCGGCAAAACCTCCTTCTGATCACGAACCCTGCCTCTCGCCCCGTGATGCTATACAAAGGACAGCGTATAGCCTCCGCTGTGCCACTCTGTGGGAGTATTACGGGTTTTCTTTTTATGGTCCCGTGCCGCTCCTAGCGTGCTCCGCTTGCGAGTCCTGTGTCTAACGCCGTACCGCCTTGAACATTCTCGCACTGATTTTGCTACTGATCTGTCGCATGCAGAGGTCTCTGAAGAAGAACGTGAGCAGTTTTGCCAGCTCAGAATTTCTTTGGCCTGGACCCTCACGAAAGCTCGGAATTGTCATCAAGACTACAGCGGGAATTCCGCCCTCGCGCCTCCGCCCTCCTAGGACCCCAGTCAAGTTTTAAAAAAGAACGAGCACATGAACAAGCTCTTCCGGGGTGGACGTATCGTAAAAAGCGGTACCCCTTGCATTTACAGCACCGTTTCAGTGTAGAAGAGGAGCGTGCCATTGCGCGTTTATTAGGACTTTCGCGCACTCAAAAGCAGTTGGCTTGATGAGTTGGTGCTCGGCCTAAAATGTTAGTAGGGCGCTATATAGTGGGGAATGGCGAAAGAACGGAGTGAAACGGTCAAAATCCTGCGAAGAAAAAGCCTCCGTTCTCAATGTGTTCAAAATCAATTTGGACGAGTTTCCCGTAGGCATCTTGCCAATAACCGCTACCGAAGGTACGGCTGCAGGCTATGTATACTTGGCTATGTATATGCTGGCTATGTACACTTATATATCCATGCAGCATCACGGCCGCTTCATACCAATCCCTTCGCTTCATAATTTGCTTAGCAAATGAATCGATTAGAGCGTCAGGAACGGTCGTCCATTTGTGGGCGGGCGGGCGTGGCGGGCGTATGGGTAGGGATGTTGTGGTTTGCTTATAAGGGCGGTCGCAGAATTCTGTCCTGCCAGGCGTATTGACCCTACTCATCTTGGGGGATTTATCGCGCCAAGTGCCTTTAACGTTATTAGGCTGCGTTTATACTTTGCGGCAGCGTAGCGTAGCGCTTCCAGCGTACGCCAGCGGCAGTGTCGGGGAAAGGATAGATATCGATCTAGCGTTCCCAGCGTCACCAGCGTACGCTAGCGCACGCCAGCGGCACGCTAGCGCACGCTGGCGTAGCGAGGGCACGGGAAGCATAGCTATCGATCTAGCTTCACCAGCGTTTCTCCAGCGTTTTCCCAGCGCTTGCAGCGACGGGGCTAGAGAGGGGCTAGAGAGTATTGAAGGGAGGAGAGTATTTTGTACTAGCGCTAGCGGGGCTAGAGAGTATTGAAAGTAGGAGAGTACAAAATACTCTCCTCCCTTCAATACTCTCTAGCCCCTCTCTAGCCCCGTCGCTGCAAGCGCTGGGAAAACGCTGGAGAAACGCTGGTGAAGCTAGATCGATAGCTATGCTTCCCGTGCCCTCGCTACGCCAGCGTGCGCTAGCGGCACGCTAGCGTACGCTGGTGACGCTGGGAACGCTAGATCGATATCTATCCTTTCCCCGACACTGCCGCTGGCGTACGCTGGAAGCGCTACGCTACGCTGCCGCAAAGTATTAGGTTTTAAGTCCTGCGACACTTTGATCAAATTTTTCGAACTAAATTTCTGGTCAGTAAAGGACATCTCCAATCTACAAGGTAACCGCAGTTGATGACTAGGACTAGTGCCTTTCTTTTGCACAGCTTCTCATTTCCATTCTCATAGAACTACGGCAACTGTGGTAAAAGAAGAGGTGGACCTCATTCTCGAGTTGAGGTTGATTTTCGGAACTTTTGCTTTTTGAAGGATGCGATAGTGACCAAAGGAGGTGGTAATTAGAGGCTGCTAACTTTGTTAAATAACCTGAGTACGGTCGCATTCTCTGATCGAAATGCATGATCTTTTGGCGTAGCCTGATCCGGTCCTCGCATTACCGAGTAGTAGAGAAAAATTGAGTATTTCTGAATGAATTCAAGCGTGACGTCATCCATATTTTGAAGTCGATTAAGGTGAACTATGGTCCTTACAAGGTGCTGGTATCCAGTGATACTGCTTGGAAGTCCCACCAATAACACACTGAAATCTTTATCCCATGCACATCTTCTTTGGCTAAGCAATCTACTTTTCTGTTTGAGAGATCCTGCGAGGGACATGTGCATGATGTACGCAAGGACTCCAACACTCGCTACCAACCACAAGATCTCACAAAAGTTCTTTCGCTGTGTACAAGGAAAAGAAAACTCAGTCACGGTCATTCGGTATGACTTGTCAGACGGGTCCAACTCATGAGGCATCCTTCACAAAAAATTTTTCCGATAACCGAGATTGCGGAGAAGCATGGCAGTTGTCAGTCAGATGGAGCCTAGAGAGGTTGCCAACTTACCGGTGGTTACGTTCGGCTGCGCCTCAAGAAGCTTGAGTAAAGGGCCGTCATTCTGTGCTGATGGGCGACCTATACATTGCCCAACTACGAGTTAAATAAGTCCAGCTTAGAAGCGCTGATGCAAAAGCTACCCTCTGCCATGGCAAGCGATATCCTTCCTCAAGACAACGTAGGTGTCAGCTTCCTTGACTACGGCGAAGTGGCCCTACAGGAACTCATATGGGACAGGTCGAAAAGTACCTCGATCTCTGGGGACTTTTAAGCTTTGAAAACTTCCACAAAGTCATGATATACCCATGTGCAGAAACCCAGTCTCCACTAATCAGGGATAAAAACATCCAAAATGATTTTTGGTCTTTTTCTAGAACAATTCAATCAAAGTGTCGCAGGACTTTTCGAACAACCTAATATAAACGCAGCCTTACCTCCCCGGACGATTACCCGCTACCGCGAACTGAGGACATGCTCGTAGAATACTACATCTTACTCAGCGTCGTTATGTATGCAGCTTTTGCTGTTACCCGAAACTCAGCGAAAATGCAAACAACCAAGGGGGTGTTCAACCAAACCCATAGGGGTGTTTATCAATCCGCTCACCTCTCCTTCGGGTCGAAGAACGTAGGGCTACTTTTCCAGGGCAATGGTGCTCATCCTCGCTGGTTTGGAAGACAACTGTCGGGCGTTCCCACGACTTCCCCACCCCCACAATGAGGGAGGCGGTCAAGAGATTTGTGTGTATGGCTAACTTCTTCTGCAAATTCACTCCGAATTTCGTAGCGTCCCACCGTTAGGCTGCTTCTCATCGCCAAGCCATGCTTGATCTTTCCGCAATGCAAGAAATTTTCTTGCACACGGCAGTCGAACCGCGGTGGTACCGCTCTCTTCCAAAATAGTGCCGACGATGATCGACAGCTCGCAGCCGTGGCGTACTTCAGCGAGGCCCTCTTAAACTCCCAACAAAATTGGCGTCTTACTCATATGAGCTCTCGAAGAAGTTATGGGTGTTCAAGTGGGCTCATGTTTATCCTTGATTAACGTCATTTTTTGTCGTTTATGATCTGGACCACTGCTACCAGACTAGCAGCAGACAAGGGAAAAGGTCGTATCAAAACTTTTTTTAGAGAGAGGGGGGAAGGTCGTATTTAGCAGAAATTGATTACAACCAATGACGTGCCCTGCTCCAAGAACAGCACCAGGACCAGTTCTGCTCCGCAATACTCACATTTCTTCAGACTCAGCGATTTTTCAACCATCTGAGCGCCGGTCAGAAGGTCCAACGGCTTCCCATTGCGAAACAGTGCGTCAATAGAAAGAACAGTTGTACGTACTATAACACACCTACCCGTCCCCGCCTAACCCCTTTCGGTTCGAACGGCTGGTCGTTCCCGACAAATGCAGACAGCCGTTTTTCTGGCCCTCTATACACCTCAACATCGGGTGGTCATTTCAACTGGCAAAAAGCACACGCCAAAATCTCTCGCAGATGTGCTGGCCGCATGTGACAGAGGACATTTTCATCCTGCGCGCCTGCATTGCGTCAGCGTATACGTCCAAACGAGATGAATCAAGAACTTCTCATCCCGCTGGTTAGCGGGCTTTATTCAACAAAGTCTGTGTTGACCTTATTGGCACCCTCCATACCTCTGAAATACGCAATGAATACATCGTAGCCATGATTGACATTTTTTTCCA